TCACACTATCATTCAATATATTATACACAAGCAATTACCTTAGTATGATAGTATATATTTATTAGCGCATATGTTATCAATCTATCCAAGATGTCATTTCAAAACATTGGAATAAAAACTAATTATATTAGTCATGTGTTGTGGATTTATTGAAAGAAAGAAATAGAGACAGACAGATAATTACTGGAAAAACAACGACAGACAAAACAAAAGTAGACATGTGCACAGAGGCAAAGACAAACAAGACACAGGCAAGAACTACCAGATAGACAGACATACAAAGACAGACACACAGACATATATGCACAAAGACAATCGACACAGAGACAAGGACGACAGATTTGAGAGACAGGCCTTCCACAAATCAAAAAGTTGAAATTAAATCATCGACAATTGTTTTATTGGCAACATTTGCTCAAAGATAGTAATATCTATTTAAAACAAGTATAAAAGTTTTATATTAACCAACTGTCAGAGTTCAAGAGTCCATTAATAGATATGAATGGGTCTAGATATAGAAATCATTTCAATTTAAGTCTAAAGAAGTAAAACTTTTTTCCATTTTCCCCACTCTCTGTTAAAACTTTCAAGAGAAGCATCACCTTTAGCAGTTGCTATATATTTTTTGACATTGTGGTGGTCTTTCAATAAATTGATAAGAGAATTTATGTTAAGTGTGGTTTCAAGACACCTGGGTTTTGTAAATGTAATGTTTAATGATGATATTAATTTCATTATCAATTTTACTGAACTCATTTCTAATTGACCAGAACCCAAAAATAAATGATTCTTTATTAATAGTAAAAGGAATCAAAAGTGCGTCTAAGAGAATTTCCAAGCTCTGCAGTAAATTTTGAACTTTTTGACATCCCCAAAATATGTGAGTTATGGTTTCTGACTCTGATTTACAAAAAGTACAAAGTGGACTTACAACTATGTTTGCCTTAAATAGTAGTGAATTTGTTGTTAAAATATTATGTAAAATTCTAAACTGAAACCACTGAAGTTTTGAATCATTTGTTACTTTGAAAGGTAGAGAAAAAATATTTGCTCAATTAGAATTATCAAACTCAAATTGATCTGCCCATTTTTTCCTGCTTGTTGGAATTTCATCATTCTTTGATAAGATTTTATATAAATATTTTGTTCCTGGAGTCTTATCAAAAAATGGTTCTATGTTTAAAGGAATGAAAGGGAGTAGAAGTTTTATATCCTGAATCCTTTGTGTATCAATAACTAATTTAACAGATTTGACAAGACCATGAAAGTGAAGAAAGTTTGTAAATATATAAAAATTTCTGTGTAAATTCATGGTAGGAATAGAAAGTAACAGGATTTTTATTTTTCAACCTATCATTTATCACTCTAAAACCCTTAGCATACCAGTTATTGTAAAAGACAGAGTTTACACCAATAGTTATATGTGGGTTATGCCATAAGGGGGGTTTTCAGAATAGAGAGTTGTCTGCCCTTTGGTAAATCAGGAATCCTCTTTACCTACAGATGTTCAAGGATATATCTGATAACAAGAGGCCCATAGGCCTTAACGGTCACCTGAGTTCTGATATATTTATACAGAGAGTTGATTTTTGTTTTTAAAACATGAACAGAAGTATTATTCAAAGTGACAAAAAAACAATAAAACAACCTTATTCAATATCTAGCACACAGATTTAAGACTGAAAAGTATTTGAATTTAGCACCTCTAATTCTAAACAAGGAAATGAAGAAATTTTAGCACACAGACTCCTTTGGGCGCCCTTGGGGGAAGAGCTGGCTCAAAATTTTCAAAGTATCAAACTGTCAACTCAGGGTTATAATTCCAATCAAGTTATCAACATGTAATATTCAAAGTATCATTTGCCAAAATAAAAATAATATCTGGGTCTTGAGAAGAAGATTTTTGAAATTTCAGTTAATTCAACCGTTTTTGGCCGCACCCATCAGCCCCTGGGGCTCAGTCAGGGCTGATATGTGCATACCATCAAACTGCTATCCAATACTGATAATGCTAACCCAAATTGAATTACACTGTACTTCCAATGAAAATTAAACAAATGTTGGTCCAAAACGTGATTTCCCTATATAAACTAAAGTAAAGTTTACCCCCTCCCCAGGGGGAAACGCGAGACCCCAGGGTCAAGAAATTCACAGTTTTGGTAAAGCACCTTAAGACCCTTCCATCTATGAAGAGTATTGGATTCTACCATATCTGGCTCTTGAGAAGAAGATTTTTGAAATTCTAGTCAATTTGACCCTTTTGGGCCCCACCCCTCAGGCCCCTGGGGGCTGGGGACCAAATCAGCCACTATTTTTGTTGATCTTTGGCCATGGAAGGTTTCTGCAAAAATTCATTGAAATTGGTTCAGGGGTTTTGGAGAAGAAGTCGAAAATGTATATTGTTTACGGATGGACGACGACGGACAAAAGGAGATCGCAATAGGTCACTTGAGACTTTGTCTCAGGTGACCTAAAAATCCCTCTATTAGTATGGAAGAGAAGGATTTTGAAGTTGTACCTCTATTTCCCTTATTGGGCCCTAGCTACCTTCTGCCCCTCGGAGACCACATCCAACTTTTTATGCATAACTGAGTCCTTTCAGCCCAGAGATGCTCTAGGACAAACTTGGTTAAAACTCCTGCATTGGTATGGAAGGTGAAGGTGTGTGAATGCTCACTCTACCAGACTACATGTTTTGATAATCACTGGTGAATGTCCTGGTATACATAGACAGACTTTGTACTCGTTCAATGCTCACACTACCAGATTACATGTTTTGATAATCACTGGTGAATGTCCTGGTATATATACACAGACTTTGTACTCGTACAATGGTCACACTACCAGACTACATGTTTTGATAATCACTAGTGAATGTCCTGGTATATATACACAGACTTTGTACTCGTACAATACTCACACTACCAGACTACATGTTTCGATAATCACTGGTGAATGTCCTGGTATACATTGACAGACTTTGTACTCGTACAATGCTAACAGTACCAGACTACATGTTTTGATAATCACTGGTAAATGTCCTGGTATATATACACAGACTTTGTACTCTTACAATGCTCACACTACCAGACTACATGTTTTGATAGTCACTGGTGAATGTCCTGGTATACATTGACAGACTTTGTACTTGTACAATGCTCACACAACCAGACTACATGTTTTGATAATCACTGGTAAATGTCCTGGTATATATACACAGACTTTGTACTCGTACAATGCTCACACTACCAGACTACATGTTTTGATAATCACCGGTGAATGTCCTGGTATATATACAGACTTTGTACTCGTACAATGCTAACACTACCAGACTACATGTTTTGATAATCACTGGTGAATGTCCTAGTATATATTGACAGACTTTGTACTTGTACACTGCTCACACAACCAGACTACATGTTTTGATGATCACTGGTGAATGTCCTGGTATATATACACAGACTATGTACTCGTACAATGCTAACACTACCAGACTACATGTTTTGATAATCACTGGGGAATGTCCTGGTATACATTGACAGACTTTGTACTCGTACAATGCTAACACTACCAGACTACATGTTTTGATAATCACTGGGGAATGTCCTGGTATATATACACAGACTTTGTACTGGTACAATGCTCACCCTACCAGCCTACATGTTTTGATAATCACTGGTGAATGTCCTGGTATATATACACAGACTTTGTACTGGTACAATGCTCACACTACCAGACTACATGTTTTGATAATCACTGGTGAATGTCCTGGTATATATTGACAGACTTTGTACTCATACATTCACAAATCGAGGTTTCAAAATACATCTAAACAAAAGCAGTTTCGACAAGACTGAAGGCAAACATGCCCAGAATCATTGATGGCATAGAAACAATTTAGTTTTGTATAAACGAAATAAAAACAAACTCTTTCACTTGTGTTTTAAGACATTTATTGTCTTAGGTTTTACTGTAATAAAAAAATCTATACAATGTATCAGCATGAAAATTTAGTATAACTCAATACAGAATGGATATTCATACCCATTGCCTTACATTAGTACACAAATACACACATCTACACAAAACAGCCTAGATGTTTATCCCTTTGATACAAACAATTAAGTATCTACATTACAATAGATCTGTCTGGCAGTTTGACGCTACAAATATTCACGTTCATCATGTCATGAGAATTTAGCAGTGGCAGATCTAGACGAGTTATCTGGGCTTTAACTTTCACTTGCAAATTTCCTTTAGAAAACATGTATTTCCGTAATTTTCCTATCCATTCTCCTAAAGAAAATTTGAAAACCCTTCCAACTTATTTTCTGAATCAAATACTGATAGATGATATAATTCGATCAAACACTGATAAATGATATACCTCGATCAAATACTGATAGATGGTATACCTCGATCAAACACTGATTGATCGAGGTATATCTATGATGATATACCTCGATCAAACACCGATAGATGATATACCCCAATTAAACACTGATAGATGATATACCTCGACCTCAACACATGATCAGTCCAACTCTCACAACTGATGTTACCATGAACAAACAAAAATTAACATAAATCTCATCAAGACAATGAAAAATCCTCAAGTCTTTCCTGCACAGAACCCCGAACTGTAACCACATCGTATTGGACATTTCTTATATTATATAAGCATTGTGAGTATAAAACAACTACGTGAAATAGCACTAATGGGAAGATATTTTCTCTTACCCTGGACAGGTGTATCCACACTTTAACCGGTGTGAGATATCCTTGGCTCACTTTAGGGTTGAGATGGGGGGATTCCCCTATTCATAACAATAATATGACGTCACGTCAACAATAATATGACGTCACGTCAACAATAATATGACGTCAAGTCAACAATCCATCAACGTCACCTCAACCCTGAATTTAGCCTGTAACGTTAACATTACAATATGTATATGCTACACAATGGGAGAACAGGGTAAGAGAAAAATAATCTCTCACCCCCTTGGGAGTGAAATAGGGGAATCTCAACCCTCAGAGAAAGATTCTTAAATTGCGAAAAACTTGGCAAAGCCTCGTGTTTGGCAACTTAAGGATCTTCCCCCTCGGGTTGAGATTCCCCTATCTCATCCCCAACGGGGGTGAGAGATTCTATTAATCTAGTATAGTCAGTGTCAACATGATAACATTTTACGTGTCATAGTCATCGTCCTCATGTTTACGTTTGAGGGGATTTGTTATAAGTGAAGACGTTGTGGATGAGATGGGTTGTATTCGTATGGAGGGCTGGCTGCTAGGCAGTGCGGTTGTCAGTTGCTGATTCGATGATAACATGGAAATGGACGGTGAAGTATATGGTAAACTTTTCATCTTCGGTGCAAATGATGCCAACGACCCGCCTATAAAAAAAGATTTGTTAGCTGCAGTTAGTATCTTTAGTGGATATTTGGTGTACTCTGAATTAAACACATCATTATATGTTATATTAATATTATCGCCAATGTTTACTTGAAAGAAAGTTATGAAATCTCTAAAAAATCAATTGCCAATTTCATGAACAGATCTATATATTTTCATTTTCTTTGTCCTTTTGTTTTCTTCTTATTGAAAAGCTTCGGCCCGTATAGCTGTTTTACATCCACAAACAAGATGAGAGGTATATATTACAAACTTGCAGACATAATCAAGATCGATTAGCCCAAAAACTCCTGTACCATTAGAATATATTGTAATCACATTCATGCTTCAGGAAAAAGTGTTTAATATATTTTGACCAACCTCCTGCTATTCTTATTGCTGGCTTTGTAAGAACTGTTGGCTGTGATGATGGTTTGGTTACTATGGTAACAGTTGGTATGGAAACACTTTTTGTAACTACTGTGAGACCACCTCCACTGATTTTCCCTGGAAATAAAGAATATCACATTGAATATTTTTATGTTTTTAGTAAAAAAAGAACTTGATTCCATTAATAATACCGATGATACAGTTTGTCGGAAGCCAACTTTTCTGTACCAGTGTACCGTTGTGGAACACCTCATTACTTTCACCCCCTCAAATAAAAATTTACTTTATCAATGGTGATCTTTTATAGATCAATGATCCTTTTCAGTTTTCAATAAAGTTTCAATAACAAGGGAGCTTAAAATCAGCAACGCATTGCCATCAACACTAATCTCACTTTCTCAGACAAGCATCTTGCAACTGCACAAAATTGTTTGAGGCATTCTTTTGCTTCATCGCTACATGAATCTTAAGGTAATAGGTTTGTGTCACCATTTCACAGTAGAATTTCTTCAAATTTTGTAGTTATATTGCTTTGAAGTAAAGAAAATTTTCTGCCACAAAAAAAATATAGGTTGTCAGAATATTAAGGATTTTAAATGGAAATTTATGTAAAAAGGAGTGAATTTTGAAGAAAAAAAATGAAACACACCTTTTTTGGCAAAATAATGTCAATAAAAATGATACTGCCATAGATTAGTATTGTATTATATGAAAATCAGACTTAAATTAAAATGCTGAATATTTCCACCAGATTTCTTTTCAAAAGAGAGAAAAATCAGACCTGATCTCATTTTCTTGACACAGGAATTGTGAAAAAAAAATATAGGTTGAAAAGGTTAAATTTTTAGATATTATTCGCCTTTAATTGTGGGCTTAGATAGTCTTATTCCGTGCCTTCAATCTTAAGATAAAACTAACAAAAATCGAAATCAAAAGTAGTCTCAGTGATGCAATATTGATAAGTATTTTCCCGGAGTTTACATTCACCGTAATTCATGTTTTATACAAAAAAACATATAAACGTGTATAGATATATTTTTAAATGAATGTAGTGTTACTGCTGTCTGTCCATTCCATTTATTTAGAAATGAAGTCATCAGAGTGATGATACTGAACTGGAATGGGCGGCGACAGACAGTGGTAACACTACAGTCAACCTCCCACAGATCATGGAATGGGCGGCGACAGACAGTGGTAACACTACAGTCAACCTCCCACAGATCATGGAATGGGCGGCGACAGACAGTGGTAACACTACAGTCAACCTCCCACAGATCATGGAATGGGCGGCGACAGACAGTGGTAACACTACAGTCAACCTCCCACAGATCATGGAATGGGCGGCGACAGACAGTGGTAACACTACAGTCAACCTCCCACAGATCATGGAATGGGCGGCGACAGACAGTGGTAACACTACAGTCAACCTCCCACAGATCATGGAATGGGCGGCGACAGACAGTGGTAACACTACAGTCAACCTCCCACAGATCATGGAATGGGCGGCGACAGACAGTGGTAACACTACAGTCAACCTCCCACAGATCATGGAATGGGCGGCGACAGACAGTGGTAACACTACAGTCAACCTCCCACAGATCATGGAATGGGCGGCGACAGACAGTGGTAACACTACAGTCAACCTCCCACAGATCATGGAATGGGCGGCGACAGACAGTGGTAACACTACAGTCAACCTCCCACAGATCATGGAATGGGCGGCGACAGACAGTGGTAACACTACAGTCAACCTCCCACAGATCATGGAATGGGCGGCGACAGACAGTGGTAACACTACAGTCAACCTCCCACAGATCATGGAATGGGCGGCGACAGACAGTGGTAACACTACAGTCAACCTCCCACAGATCATGGAATGGGCGGCGACAGACAGTGGTAACACTACAGTCAACCTCCCACAGATCATGGAATGGGCGGCGACAGACAGTGGTAACACTACAGTCAACCTCCCACAGATCATGGAATGGGCGGCGACAGACAGTGGTAACACTACAGTCAACCTCCCACAGATCATGGAATGGGCGGCGACAGACAGTGGTAACACTACAGTCAACCTCCCACAGATCATGGAATGGGCGGCGACAGACAGTAGTAACACTACAGTCAACCTCCCACAGATCATGGAATGGGCGGCGACAGACAGTGGTAACACTACAGTCAACCTCCCACAGATCATGGAATGGCAGGGAATAATTACAAGTCAAATGTGTAAAGTAGTAATCAAATATTCTGAAGACAAACCATGTGGTGTGATGTTGATTCGCTGATGAGACAAAGATCCCCCAGAAATCTGATTCATTCCAATCTGTATCCTGGACTGGTGCTGTTCAACAGTGAAAAGAATATATATATGATAATATTCCAGTCTAAACTCCAAAACCTTTTAAAAAGGCAAAGAAATCTATAATTGTTTCTATGGCTTAAAAGGGTATAAAAAAAGATCTGTTAATTCCTGAAAAAACCATATATAATTATGCTGCATCATGTATGGTCATCTACAGGTTACACAGACGATCACTGACCTGTGAAGGTTATATAAGCTGTTTTACTAGTCACTAACACACCCAGTGTACTAACCTTCTTTGAAACGCGGTGGCCTGCCATTTTGTAATTGGGTGCTGATAGGCAGTATCTATCAGGAGGTAGACGCAGGCCGGTGTAGGGCTTGATCAGCGGCAAAACCTGGCCATTCTTGTGTTTAGCAATCTCCATCAAAAGCTACAAACCAAACAATCGGGATTAACTTAAAAACTAGAATTATGTCAGTGTGACATTACAGCCGCTCACCACTTTAAATTTAATTGCTTCAGTGACACGTTGAGCATAAAAATCTACTATAATAACTCAGATATGTGTTCTGTATTCTGCTAATTGAAAATCAGGTCATCTGATGATGTTGCGTTTAGGATTTTCAAAATCAATCACCTATTAAGCGATGCCTTAAAAACATTTCTCCCTCTCCTTTTTTTTCACCCTCTTTAAGTGTGACGCATTGTTGTAATTTTCATTAATTAGCATCCTCCAATGATGTGACATGAGCGTTTACGTGCAGAATGGCAATCGGTGAATGGATAATAAAGAATAGGTGAATTTTTTGCTTGTGAAATGAAGGATAATTAACAGTAGTGGGAAAACATGCATGGAGAAAAGAGACATTGTACTCCTTTTATTTTTATTTATTTTTAATTCATATTAGTGAAAATTATTAATATTTGTAGCGACTATATTTACCGTCATTGAATATACAAAATCTCACAAATGTTCTTGGAATATATTTGAATTATATTTCACAATATGACTTTACCAACGTAAGAGTTATTTCCCTTACACCGGATTGGATAATATTTTGACACGGCGTGAATTCTTGTCAAACAGCAGCGGCAGTTGTGTCATGTTCTTAAATTGTTACACTTTCATAAATAAATACACCAGAAATAGCATGCTGTGACTGTGTTACAAAAATGTTTGATAAGCATACACAGTTCACATATCGTCTCGTCTCGGAGCCATTAGTCTACCGTTATCAATCTAAGCACGATATGGCATATATACGTTACCGTTTCAAACATCAAAATAGAGTTTATACTTCATCACTCATACGGTTTATAAGTTTATATATTTACTTCTTCCTTCTACAGACAGTGTCAATGCTTGACAGTCTTAACATGTGCTTTCTCGAATCATATGTGTTTCACACGCGTAACACTCCCCAGACCGCAATGCGTGTTGCTAAAACGCTCAAATCTAGTTCACGAATTTCACCACCACAACACTCGTAGAATGCACCGGAGATAAACATTTTGTTTTCAGCAATTATTTTAAGTATGGATTATTATTTGGAGAAGAGTATCAGAAGACTTTATGTAACCCACAGGTGAGTGTCAAGAGATTCCACTTTCTATTTACGATAACGAAACTATATAGCGGAAGCATGCAATACTGAATTATGTGCACGCACCCCGAACGGAAGTGGGTCCGTCATTTCGTTCTCTGGACAGAATTAATAAGCCGCTCGGCTCTCGCCAAGAGCGGCTTAAAATACACCTACAAAACACAGCCGAATGTCGCAATGTCTAAACTAACATACATATGTTTACCACAGCTGATTGTCACAATGTCTAAACTAACATATATATGTTTACCACAGCCGAATGTCGCAATGTCTAAACTATACATAGGTTTACCACAGCCGAATGTCGCAATGTCTAAAATATACATATGTTTACCACAGCTGAATGTCGCAATGTATAAACTAACATACATATGTTTACCACAGCTGAATGTCGCAATGTCTAAACTATACATATGTTTACCACAGCCGAATGTCGCAATGTCTAAACTATACATATGTTTACAACAGCCGAATGTCGCAATGTCTAAACTAACATACATATGTTTACCACAGCTGAATGTCGCAATGTATAAACTAACATACATATGTTTACCACAGCCGAATGTCGCAATGTCTAAACTATACATAGGTTTACCACAGCCGAATGTCACTATGTCTATACTATACATATGTTTACCACAGCCGAATGTCGCCATGTCTAAACTATACATAGGTTTACCACATCCGAATGTCACAATGTCTAAACTATACATATGTTTACCACAGACGAATGTCGCAATGTCTAAACTATACATATATTTAGCACAGCCAATGTCGCAATGTCTAAACTAACATACATATGTTTACCACAGCTGAATGGCGCAATGTATAAACTAACATACATATGTTTACCACAGCTGAATGGCGCAATGTATAAACTAACATACATATGTTTACCACAGCTGAATGGCGCAATGTATAAACTAACATACATATGTTTACCACAGCTGAATGTCGCAATGTATAAACTAACATACCTATGTTTACCACAGCTGAATGTCGCAATGTCTAAACTATACATATGTTTACCACATCCGAATGTCACTATGTCTAAACTATACATATGTTTACCCCAGCCGAATGTCGCAATGTCTAAACTATACATATATTTAGCACAGCCAATGTCGCAATGTCTAAACTAACATACATATTTTTACCACAGCCTAATTTCGCTATGTCTAAACTATACATAGGTTCACCACAGCCGAATGTCGAAATGTCTAAACTAACATACATATTTTTACCACAGCCTAATTTCGCTATGTCTAAACTATACATAGGTTCACCACAGCCGAATGTCGAAATGTCTAAACTAACATACATATTTTTACCACAGCCTAATTTCGCTATGTCTAAACTATACATAGGTTCACCACAGCCGAATGTCGCTATGTCTAAACTAACATACATATGTTTACCACAGCCGAATGTCACTATGTCTGAACTATACATAGGTTTACCACAGCCGAATGTCGCTATGTCTAAACTAACATACATATGTTTACCACAGCCGAATGTCACTATGTCTGAACTATACATAGGTTTACCACAGCCGAATGTCGCTATGTCTAAACGATACATAGGTTCACCACAGCCGAATGTCGCTATGTCTAAACTATACATAGGTTTACCACAGCCGAATGTCGCTATGTCTAAACGATACATAGGTTCACCACAGCCGAATGTCGCTATGTCTAAACTATACATAGGTTCGCCACAGCCGAATGTCGCAATGTCTAAACTAACATTCATATGTTTACCACAGCTGAATGTCGCAATGTCTAAACTATACATAGGTTTACCACAGCCTAATGTCGCAATGTCTAAACTATACATAGGTTTTCCACAACCGAATGTCGCAATGTCTAAACTAACACACATATGTTTACCACAGCCGAATGTCGCTATGTCTAAACTATACATAGGTTTACCACAGCCGAATGTCGCTATGTCTAAACGATACATAGGTTCACCACAGCCGAATGTCGCTATGTCTAAACTAACATACATATGTTTACCACAGCAGATGAACTGATTAACCACCTATGATGATTTATCCTAAAAATCTCCAAAACCTATGAATGGTTGTGGCATGGGCAGCGCCTCAGGTCAATCAGGTGTTAGGTTTGATGTACACTCACATCTCTTGGTGGTGGTGAAGTGAATGAGTGGTCCATCCTACACTGGATAGCCATCTTCGTGTCTTCAAGGTCGATGTTCTTCTTGCTGGCATGAGTTGAATATACTTTAGCATCATCCAAAATGTCTGTTACATATCCTGATGAAAAGATATAAATAGCATAGTTTACATTAGCCAGGAAAATTTGACATCATTAATTCTTAAGGTGTTTGTACCACGGTTTTTGTTCCGACTGAAACACGTTTCACAGTACAAGTGATTACCGTACATGTCATGATAGCATTTTAATTAGCCACTAATTAAAATGCTTTTTTAGCCTCGCATTAGATGAAAAAGGGACACTTAATTAATTAGCCGTTTTATTAAGGTGCCCTTTTTTTGGCCTGCTCTCGCATAAGACCAATAAGGGCATTTATATTAATTAGTCGCTAATTAAGGTGCCCTTTTTGGCCTCACATTAGACCAATAAGGGCACTTAATTAGCTGTTAATTAAAGTGTCCTTTTTGGCCTGATGTGCCCTTTTTCCTGCCACTTATTCAATAGCAGGTCTACGCAGCATAGTTTTTAAAAGCCTTGCTTGACTGCAAATAGCATCTATTCTCCTTATTATAATTATATATATAACCACCTTAGGTTGGGTGGGAAAGTCTTTATACTGCCTCTGACATCCCCTTGGGCCTTGACCCTAGTCTTCTTGCTGCTTCAGTGAACAAGATAGTTGGCCTACTGTAATTAGCTGTCATTATGTAGGGGCTGTTTATTACAGGCTTTCACTGATCAGGGCAGTGGTTGAGAGGGAATGGAATATCAAAATGAAATTTGGTATAGAGGTGTAATATAGTCATATTAACAACATATCTTCTGATGTCGCATTCTTTATTCGATATTTTCAAAGATTTTGTCTGGCGACGCTTGTTGTCGGCTGAAGATGTTTTTAAGGAGGACTCGTCATAGCGCCACTTTTTGCATATTCATGAGGTTGACGTGAGCAACGTGCCGAAACATGAAGTGTACATATTGATTGGCTGGTTATTTTTGGAGGGATTTTTTTGGGGGGCTGTGCTTCCAGCCAATAATGCCACAGGTTTCGGAACACATATATAGGAGGTTTTTAAAAGAAAAAGTATCAATCTTTCAAACGGCACTAAAAAGTTTTCATACACCAACTAGAAATGTGTTTTTCGATTTTCGAATTTTCGACATCGAGAGCTTTCCTCCGTTCTTCTTCCTCCAAATGGACAAAGACTCCAAGGTTGGAGCGATAGCTGTCCGTGTGCGCATGTACGTGGAGTATAGGCTATAATATACACGATGTCAATGTTATAAAAATTACATATATATATAGAGGTACAGTGTTACAGCATTTGACCGTGATGTATTGATGTGAGGGCAGTGCAGACGTGTGTAAGGAATGTAATTAGGAGAGGACTAGTTAGGATTCATCCCTTGGGCGGCTCAAGGGCACCGGTTTGAACACACAGGACAGCCAAAAGTTAGTATGGGCATGGAAGGGTTGTATTGGGGATTGTTTACGAAGAGTAGAGCTACACATTACCCACGATTCGATACGTATCTCAATATTTGTTCCCCAATTCGATTATTTCGATTTGATACACCTTTATTTTAAATATAAACAAAATGAGATATAAAACCCGTTGATACACGAAAACCCACAGTTTTTCCACACTTTTGATTTGAAGCTTGCCGGAGCATCACAATTTTTCATTTCCGTAAGGCGGTCTACCATTTTGTTATGAATGCTTTGTGAAAATTGCATCCTCACAGCCGATTGGTTGAGGGGTTAGAGATCAGCCAATGAAATTGAACGTCTCACAGACGCTTCGGCTGAAGCGGCATACATTAATATTCAGATTGTGACGCATCGAAAATCTGGAAAAATATATCGTGAATCAAATCGAACATAAATAATCGAGGTACAAGTGCATCACGGTGAAACGTAACGCCTCTAACGAAGAGTTGGTCAAAATGCTGTAAACTGTGATAGGAATTAGAAGATCTGTTTGAGTTGTAAAGTGTACACTTGAACGAGTCAACTGTGTCAGCAGTAGCTACAGAGAATGTCAGGGAGTTCCAGTCTCTTATAGTACGTGGAAAATATGAAAATTTGTAAAAATATTTTGATGCAATAATAGGTTTAAATTTGTGCTTGCCTCTTGTCTGTGAATCTGATTTGATAAGTCAGCTGTCTGGTAAAGCTATGGAGTTATATAGTATTTTGTACATGTTGATCAGTCTTGCATTCCTCTTCCGTGTCTTTAAGGGGTCACACTGAAGAGTGTCTACCATATAGTGTTGACTGTTCCAGGGGTTCGGGGGCTGTAATCATTGAACACATACCTGGCTGCTCTCCTTTGTACTGCTTCTAGCCGAGTGGTGTGGTCCCTCTGGTAGGGATCCCATGCTGAGCATGCATACTCTAGCTGAGGACATACTAAGGACGTGTTCATTGGGGCCTTATATTAACCGTCCTAGAACAACTGTGCATGTTACGGAGCAGAAAACCAAGTGTACTTTCGTCTTGGCGGTTATGGAGGAAATACGAGTCCCCCAGGAGAGATGTTGAGAAATGGCAACACCTAGATATTTGTTAGAAGGAACTATCTGGAGGGTTTGACCACTGATAGAGCAGTTGGCAGTGATGACAGAGCACTTCTTGCACATTCTGATGACAAAGCATTTATCTGCATTAAAGCTCATCTGCCATTTAGACTCCCACTTTGGTAGATTTGAGAGGTCATCTTGAAGTTGTGTAGAATCATTTCTGGAAAGCAGACAATCATCAGCAAAGAGGCGAGCATTTGATTGTATACAGTTTGGTAAATCATTTAATTTATAAAGAGTAAAGACAGGAGGGGCCTCAAGGACTGTGCCTTGGGGGACACCAGGGTCGACGGGGAGGGGATCAGTGCAATTATTGACCACGACTCTCTGTAGTAGGTTATGGAGGAAGGAGGAAATCCAGACATGAGTGGAATTCCTAATATCACAGAAGTGGAGATGATGGAGTAAGATCTAGAGTTGATGTGGGACTTTATCAAACGCTTTTGAAAAATACTATTAGATTTTGGTTGCCATCAGCTAAGGATTCAGCCATGTCTTGGAAGTTGGAATGTTATAATGAGCTGTGATTTACAGGATGTTTTGAACGGAAACTGTGGTTTGTAGACAGACTATGGTGGAGGTCCTGGTAGGACATTATGCTGCCGTGAATTATGTGGTAGGAGCTTATATTTACAACTAATAGATGATAAGGGGACTGGACGATAGTTTGAGGCAGCATCCTCCTCGTATATAATCATCATTGGGGGTGATGTTTTTTTTTTTTTGTGTTTTTACCGAAAATCGATTTTAACCCTTTAAACGTGTAAAATTACTATGAACACCTTAGTTTAGGAACAAACAAAGCTGTAACAAATTATCAGGTCCCTGTGTTAATGTCAACAATTTTGGAAGGTTCGTATCTTTCCAGCACGTTTAAAACAAACAGTTAAAATGTTACACTCACTGTAGACGAATTCTAACATAGTATTTATAAGTCGTGGTTCGTATTCCAAAACTCCCATATCTTTCAGTATAGCTGCCATAACTTGTGCATCGCGCGGCGTACTCTTTGCAGGTGCTGCCATTTTGTTTTAATTACAAAAGTAACTTCATATTACGAAATTCAATTTGGACAACAAAATGATATTTCTTTTTACGAAAAGTAGGCTGTTTGTAAGACTGTAGTCATGTCGAATTCCTCAACGGTAATAAAAATATGATGCTTTATAAAGTATTGATCATAACTAAAATAATTTTTGAAATTATTATTTCGTTTCAGAAAAATATAAAATATTGTCATTCGTAAATTTATACAGTCCTCAGGTAAATGGCCGAAATGGGCCACTATTCTATGGTCGCTGTTTTTGCAGCGCTTATATTTTTAACATGGAGGGATCTTTCCCACACAGAAACGACATCTGATGTACACAAGGACATTAGAGCTCCTAAGTTTGCAACAATGGCCGCCCCAACGATAAAATTTTTGTATTGGTAAGATACAAAGAATGAACACGCTCTGAAAATGTCGAGTCATGTGATCGTTCTACGTAGTTTGACAGCTTTATTCAATAATTCCTCCTAAATCTAGTAATACTACTTGAAGATTATTTTGAATCATAATTGACATTTGTTGACGTATATATAGATGCATTGTTTGTTAGAGCCCACATTCCTGACCGCATTTAACATGCAACAACTTATAACATTATCATTATTTAGATGACGTGTTCTTAGAGATAATTTGTGATGAAATGACAAAGATCATGAATATTTCATGAAAAACTGGGAACAGCTTTGTATGTTATTGTCAGAAAGTCACTAATTCGTGCTGGAGAACAAATATGGTATCTGAAAAATATGTTTGAACCTAAATTTTTGGCATGTATTATATTAATATTCTGGCAATATTGTAAACATTCTGAAAGTAAAAGGTTTCGGAGTTCATTTTCACGAATTATTCACTACTGAAATGTATTTGTAACGATCTAAGGAGTCCAGTGTGGGAGATCTCCCTCTACTGGGTTTTCAAATGTGTGAGATTTTGACGGTGTTGTGCGTGGATGGCATGCATGATGCTGTTTCTTTCTCTTCCAATAATCTGCATACCATCTCTGGTGTATTATCACTGATGATATTGTTTCAGCAGATTTAATAAGTTTAAAAAACCCCACATAACATCGGAAATGCACCACATCATAATCAAAGGCCTTTCTTGTAATGAGCGGTCAATATTGCTTCAATACCTTGGCATGGGATGTTCAATGACCTATTCAAATAGATAACATTTCATTTTTAAAAGCAAGTACCCTTACCATATTAATAGTAGTGAAATAAAAAATTAAATTTAATAAAAGATAAAAAGTTGTGATCACTTGAGAGTGAAAAAGATTTTTCTATATATTTTTGGCTGCTATCAAAAGCACCATATAGATCCGGAGCATTTACTTGAAGTAGGCCAATATATGTTTGCTATCTTATTCAAATAATGTATTGCATATTGTAACGAGCGAGCGTGCGGTGCCCACGTCTCATCGGCCACCATCGAAGAAGTATCGGGGTTCTTGTTTCACCAATATAATGGTCAGAAATAGTCTAGTAGTCTAATTTAACTATGCGAAAACTCTAAATATCAACCAAGAGCCCAATTGACAGGTACAAATATAATTTCTATTAAAGGAACAAGTTAAATAACAAGGTATCTTTATACAGAGAACAGATCAGTATAATATTACAATACAAACAAGGCATCAACACAGGTTCTTGCACCAGACATTAACAAAGGTGATTGACAAATTGTACACAACTATTCCCAAACTATACACTAATTGAATGTATTTCCTGTAAAAATGTCCCACTAATCACCAGAGCCAATTATTCTAAGCCACCTAAATTATAATCTGATGTGCAGACCAGCAAAAATACAAGAAAGCTTCAACTATTCAGATAATTTGTAATAAAATGACAATTCAGCTATAAATAGCCAACTATACCGGAATTTCCCCTTGTGTCTATATATATTAAATAGAACTATAAATGACGTAAGCCTAAACCCGAAGTATGACAGATTCCTAAGTCTGACCTGTTCAGAGGCGACCATCTGCCAGCGAAGACAGTGATGAACTGAAGAAAAAGGTCTGATCCGCCCTGTATTTATAACCTTCCAAATATTACTACTCAGGGGAGGTCTGGTGATTAGATGGGAGAGGTCCGGAGACACTACTTTCCCATAGGATTGCATGTAAAAGTAATATAAACCTTATTGCACATGGCCTCTCAAACAATAAGTGCTTTACATTAAAATAATTGTACAGAGAAGAAAAATACATGTAAAACTCCTAATGAATGCCGCTAAGGTTATATTATGGATTAAAAATATACCGAGTTTAGAGAATTCCCTGCGGTAATGACGTCAGACGCCGGTAAGAGTTATTGAAACGCTTAAGAGGTCGCCGAGAGAGGTCTCCAGCTGACTTTACATCTAAGACATCATTAAAAGACATTAACAAAAAGGTTAGCATACTCTTTTAAATATATATATATAATAATTACTTAATGTCCATCAATCTACAGTGACTTACAAGCCTAGGAAGTTAAAGAATCAATGTAAGTAGTTTCGATCATCTCACATAGTCAGCTTACAAAATGGCGGTCTTGAGAGGTGTTTGAGATGCCAACGAGAGGTCGATTAAACACAAAATTAACAGGGAAATTATAGGTCATTCCTACACTGTTCTGTAGTTGTCATTTGAATAATTAACATTTAAAACTTATGTACAAACACATTTTGGACTATAAAATGGACCTTGGTGTTATTTATGTAGTGAAAACCGGTCACACAGGCGCACAGCGATATGTCAACAAATCGTCTGCAGGGCCGAGACAGCGGTGGTTGAAATCACCACAGTTATACGGGGCTGACACGACGTGACGTTATAATATATATACCGGTAGTTATAGCAGCATACCTACGTACTAAGTCCAAACTGCCAAAGCACTTCCCCAAACCCCTAAAGTACGTCTTCAGTGTTTTACATCGTATATGCCACTATAACCAATACTTAAGTAGTGAATTCGAAGATAACTTTACACCTGTCAAACTTTTTGTCAGCCATTCGTCTGTTCGCTATCTTTTCCCAGTTGGCATTATTTTTTTCAAGTATCATTTTCTCTTAAAACTTCTAACTTGACCCTATAACAATCTTTTCTATTGTGCGACGACATCATCAGTAAAATGTTCTTTTCAGTGCGATAGATATGTTTGAAGCAAAGATTACAAGTGAAAACAACTTGCCTTACGATGCATTTACATTCGTTTCCACCAGATGTACAAATCAATTAACACCTTGCATTAACTAACTTCCAAAATTTTAATCAAAAGTTTCCTCAATATGCATTTACTGTCAACAAGACTTATCAATTCAACAAGTATAAGATCATCTTTAACTCATTCGCCACTGAAATTTCATAATGAACTCTTCCAACCTTTGAATTGAAAGAGTTCAAATGTGTCTTCAGTGGTGAATTCATGAGTTAATATAGAACTAATGAAGATCTTATGAATTTACATAATAAGTTATTAGCACATTGTATTGGAAAACAAATGCAATGTGGAGTCAAAAGGGATGTCGGAATTTTTTCTATGAATTTACATGTGATTTCTTTTATTGTATTGCAGCTACTCCTGAGGGTACCGGAAGGTCTATGACCAATATTTCCATGCTCTTCAAGAGCGCTTCCCGTCTTTAATCGTCGAGGGCGACAATTACCCGCCGCCCTCCGGTAAAGCCGCAGTAGCACAGTTTCTAAGTATAGCCAAGCTTCTCATCATCGCCATGATCGTGTCGGGTCAAAATCCCTTTCCTCACCTAAACATGGAAACACCTAGCATATTCACCTGGGCCATCTCAAACAAGGCAAGTATATATGTAGCTGGAGTAATACATATGGTGTGACTATTGCAGCCAATTTTGACTGATCAAACAACCTATATATTTGTTTGTGGCAGAAAAATTTCTTTACTTCAAAGCAATATAACAAAATTTGAAGAAATTCTTCTGAGAAATGGTGACAAAATCCTATTACCTTAACTGACATAAATGTATCATTCAAGCATCAAGTATTTTTTATACCTGCAGATTTTCAAAAGTATTGAATATTAACAATATCCTGTTTCAACATAATGCATACTTTCATATGCTTACAGAAACATAAGATCTGCTAGCTCTGTACATCTAAGAGTGAGAAATACAGATGCATTGCTGAAAAGTGTCCGGTTCATGGGGCCCTTCACCGGCCAGACGCCCCAACTGAGGCCCTTGGACCCCCTCTATTTTCAGATATTCTTTCCTTGGCCCACAATTTTGTAACTAACTGTTTAACTCATTGTAAAGAGTTTGTGATTTTCTTTTGTAGATCTATGCCTGTTTAATGGTTTTCTTCATCAGCAATGCAGTAGAGGGACAGATGATTTCTACAGGGGCCTTTGAAGTATCATTTAATGGTGAGTGCTAGGCCTGTGTATGCGTAGTTGAACACAGGGTATCATGGATAGTATTTTAGAGTATTGCATTATTAGTCATATTTGTATGATAATTTATATTGATACATTATACTAATATAAAAAGGTCATATAAGTGCAAAAATAGCCTTGAAACAAAAAAGAAAAATAACGAAAACAACACTTCAAGATGAAACAATGTGACATACTGATAATGCTATTTATTGATATTGGGACATACAGGTAAAATATATGTTAAAATATATGCACACTGTTACATCCCAAATTTCACTAGTAAATACATATGGATCATGATGTTCTTACTATTCAGTACATATACCGACATATACTTCAAGATATGATAGCAGGCCAATACCACTGTATATTTACACAAAACATCATTGTACCATTGATTAGTAACTTACAGCTCTCACTTAGAACTATTAATTGCCAACTGTCCTTAGAAGGGAAATAGAGCTAAGAACAGATCATTAATTGTCATTCAATGTAAATGCCAAAATTAAATCTAGAAAATGGAAAACACATCATAGACATTGTACTAATTATATATATACCATCATAATTAAATGGTACCATCATCCAAATATAAGCCTTGACACAGGTACAATATATATGTACACAGGTACATTATATATGTATACAGGTACATTATATATGTACACAGGTGAAATGTAGTGGTACGTACATGATATATTGTTGCGTTTTTTTCTCTCTCTTAATAATTGTACATGTTATGAGACATTGCATGCATTAGATATAAACCCCCTATGTTCGTTAACCCACACGCAATCCTTGAACCATGCCTAAACAACTCTTGATTTAGAATTTAGATGCCCCAGATTTCACATAAAACACAATTTCTGTATTGACCAGTTGATGATTGAGTTATGTTTTTGTACCTGTATGATATACTCGGTCTGCTATATATATGCCATCCTGGTGTTCACATTTGTGAATTTTTTAATTAACAGGCCCACTGCACCTTACAATTGGCTAATCTGTAGTGATCATGCTAGACAAACAAATGTCTATTTTTTCTTGTTTTTAAGCTATATTCATCCACCAAAAATCCAACAAATAGTTCTAAGTGAATTTTGTAAATTTTGCAAAATATGTTCCAAAAATAATGATACTTTTTGACGCCAATAACAACCCCCAGATGTCAAACCAGCCATTCATGTTTATAATTTTCCAAGCTGGACTGCTTGTTGCGGATGAATCCCATGTTTTTATACGCCCATCGTCCGACGAGTCGTAATATGGTTTGGACTGCATTCGCATTGTCCGTCTGTCCGTTAATCTTTCCTTGCCGTCACCTATCCTGCCTTCATTCATGAACATATCTTGATGAAACTTGATACATATATATATTTTGCATACCAATAAAGCTTGAACGAGTTTGCATTTCAGAATTTTATGTGCATTTTCGGTGGAGTTATGCCCCTTTTATTGCCAAATAAGGGTGTTTGTGTAGTAAATGCAAGAACTTTTTTATTTTTGAAAGCAATTTCTTTCAAATTTTTAAATGAAACTTGGTAGGAATGATCGACTTATAGTCCTGGCAAATTGGTGGGTTTTTTTCGGATCAAAAATCCAATTGACTGCCACAGTCGCCATTTTGAAAAAAACTATTTCAAACTTAAAATCAAGTTCTAATAGGCCAATTTAACTGAAACTCAGTCTAGGAATAATCACAGGGCTCACACAAAGGGAAAATTCTGTGTCGCTAATTGGTTTTGCTATGAAAATATTGTGTTGCCAAACTGAGATTTTATGTCGCCAATTTGTGTCGCGCTCACAATTTTTAGTGTATTTTTCAGATAACTGATTTATCAAGAACTAATCCACTATATATTCATTCTAATTGCTCCTTTTGTTTCGTGTGTATTATAAGCAGAATGCTAGTTCAAGAGAAAAACAGAAAAGAAAACAGTGTTTTCCATCTTTTATGATTTATTCTTTCCAATCATCTATAATATATTACTTTACTTTTTATTCAATTTTTAATATCAATTCATCAATGCTAATAAGATCTTCAGACCAAACAATACTACATTTAACTTTCAATTCATTTTTATATCCCTCAATTATATATGTATACATCTTCTGGAAATACATACTTCTGACAATATTGTCTTTTTATTTTGCTGAACACAAAAATCACTTAATATCAAACAGTTTGATCATCAACTCGTGGTCCTGCCAAACTTAACATTATACTTAACTATTTTTTTAGTGAAATTGGAAGGGAGGATTGACATCTTTATCTCCACTTCATATTTTAACATAAAAAATAAATACTGTAGGACTCGGGTGACCGTTAAGGCCCATGAGCATCTTGTTTATTTTTTAATAAATTTCTTTTAAATTTTGTACGGTAATGCTAGAAGCAACAATATTCAACATATATTACAGGTTTTCTGTCGTATTTCAACTTTCAACATTTCCGCGTATCACACTTGACAAAGCAACACTGTACTTCATTATCGATATTGACTTTTCCTTGTTTACACAATAACTCAAACAATTGTTCTCCGAATTTCAGTAAAATACTTGGTTGTTTCATTACCTGCATGCTTTGAGTGAGTTCTTAAAATGTGACATTTTAAAAAAGCTATTCGGCACAGTTATGCCTCTTTTCATTGCCAAATAACAGCATTCCATTGAAGATGTAAGAAATTTTAAATTATTTGTTTAATTCCTTTCAAATTATGTATGGTAATACAAAAACCAAACATATGATATGTCACTACCTGCTTCCAATATATCAATACCCTTCCGAGGGTCTGATGTGTGTATCATGCTTCTGTTCGCGTTGTTTTTGCTCGCTTTAGGTCTTCCTTCAACTTTTTCTTTAAACATTGTCTCTTGTCTATTTCTCACAATGAATTGTTCATAAAAAGTACCAATCTATATTTTTATGAAGAATTTTCTGACAAAATTATGAAAAAAACTTAACTTCACTAAATTGTCCCTTTAGGTATGTATACATACAACTCATTTTCAAGATTCAACTTGGGTGCCAACATCTCCAAATTCAACCATGCTACATCATTTACATTCTAATTGCCATGTAAATATCTGATACTGTTGATATTTTTGTGGCTATAAGAAATCAGATAATCGTTACGAGAGATGACATGCAAAAGATAGCTTTAGATATATGCCATTTTCATGTAACACAAACAAGAGGTGTAAATATAGGAGCTGTATGAGAATGTTGCCATGTTGGAAAGCCCAAAATGTAGCTATATAGGAACGTTGCATTTACTGCAATGAAATTTGTATAAGTTTTATAATAGGTTTCAAAACAGATAAGATCACATTAATTTCTTTGTTTTATAATTCCAAATGAATGAGTCTTATAAAAAAGGCATGTGTTCAATGTTAATTGACAAGTTAAAAGTGTACACATGTTTATTATTTCATCATTGACAATTTGTTTATGAAATTATAATGATCTATTTCTCTTTACATTTCACAGATGTCCCAATATGGTCTAAGTTACAAACAGGGCGAATCCCAGCACCAGGGGAGATGTTCCAGATCATCGAAAACCAAATGAATTTGAACCCTAATCAGCCTACTCAGAATATGTAGCAGCAGAAAGGTACCAGCTCAGCATAAGTACAGGTATTTACCATGAAAACCCCTTCCCATTAACTCTCAATAAGTACAGGTATTTACCATGAAAACTCCTTCACAGTAACTCTCCATAAGTACAGGTATTCACCATCAAAACCCATTCACAGTAACTCTCCATGTGTACAGGTATTTACCATGAAAACTCCTTTCACAATAACTCTCCATAAGTACAGGTATTTACCATAGAAACCCCTTCACAGTTACTCTCCATGTGTACAGGTATTTACCATGAAAACTCCTTCACAGTAACTCTCCATAAGTACAGGTATTCACCATGAAAACCCCTTCACAGTTACTCTCCATGTGTACAGGTATTTACCATGAAAACTCCCTTCACAATAACTCTCCATAAGTACAGGTATTTACCATGAAAACTCCTTCACAGTCCTTCTCCATAAGTACAGGTATTAACCATGAAAACCCCTTCACAGTAACTCTCCATAAGTACAGGTATTTACCATGAAAACCCCTTCACAGTTAAACTCTCCATAAAAACAGGTATTTACCATGAAAACCCCTTCACAGTTACTCTTCATGTGTACAGGTATTAACCATGAAAACTCCTTCACAGTAACTCTCCATAAGTACAGGTATTTACCATGAAAACCCCTTCACAGTAACTCTCCATGTGAACAGGTATTTACAGTGAAAACCCCTTTACAGTAACTCTCCATAAGTACAGGTATTTACCATGAACACTCCTTCACAGTAACTCTCAATAAGTACAGGTATTTACCATCAAACTCCTTCACAGTTACTCTCCATAAGTACAGGTATTTACCATGAAAACCCCTTTACAGTCACTCTCCATAAGTACAGGTATTAACCATGAAAACTCCTTCACAGTCACTCTCCATAAGTACAGGTATTTACCATGAAAACTCCTTCACATTAACTCTCCATAAGTACAGGTATTTACCATGAAAACCCCTTCACAGTTAAACTCTCCATAAATACAGGTATTTACCATGAAAACCCCTTCATAGTTACTCTTCATGTGTACAGGTATTTACCATGAAAACTCCTTCACAGTAACTCTCCATAAGAACAGGTATTTACCATGAAAACCCCTTCACAGTAACTCTCCATAAGTACAGGTATTTACAGTGAAAACCCCTTTACAGTAACTCTCCATAAGTACAGGTATTTACCATGAACACTCCTTCACAGTAACTTTCCATAAGTACAGGTATTTACCATCAAACTCCTTCACAGTTACTCTCCATAAGTACAGGTATTTACCATCAAACTCCTTCACAGTAACTCTCCATAAGTACAGGTATCTACCATGCAAACTCCTTCACAGTAACTCTCCATAAGTACAGGTATTTACCATGAAAACCCCTTCACAGTTACTCTCCAAAAGTACAGGTTTTTACCATGAAAACCCCTTCACAGTTACTCTCCATAAGTACAGGTATTAACCATGAAAACTCCTTCACAGTTATTCTCCATGTGTACAGGTATTAACCATGAAAACTCCTTCACAGTAACTCTCCATAAGTACAGGTATTTCCCATGAAAACTCCTTCACAATAACCCTCCATAAGTACAGGTATTAACCATGAAAACTCCTTCACAATAACCCTCCATAAGTACAGGTATTTACCATGCAACCTCCTTCACAGTAACTCTCCATAATTACAGGTATTTACCATCAAAACCACTTCACAGTAACTCTCCATAATTACAGGTATTTACCATCAAAACCACTTCACAGTAACTCTCCATAATTACAGGTATTTACCATCAAAGCTCCTTCAGAGTTACTCTCCGTAAGGACAGGTATTTACCATGAAATCCCCTTCACAGTTACTCTCCATAAGTACAGGTATTTACCATCAAAACTCCTTCAGAGTTACTCTCCGTAAGTACAGGTATTTACCATGAAAACCCCTTCACAGTTACTCTCCATAAGTACAGGTATTTACCATGAAAACTCCTTCACAGTAACCCTCCATAAGTACAGGTATTTACCATCAAAACCCCTTCACAGTTACTCTCCATAAGTACAGGTATTTACCATCAAAACCCCTTCACAGTTACTCTCCATAAGTACAGGTATTTACCATGAAAACCCCTTCACAGTTACTCTCCATAAGTACAGGTATTTACCATGAAAACCCCTTCACAGTAACTCTCCATAAGTACAGGTATTTACCATGAAAACTCCTTCACAGTTACTCTCCATAAGTACAGGTATTTACCATAAAACCCCCTTCACAGTGGCTTACAATAGGTACAGGTATTTAACATGAAAACCCCTTCACCACTTTAAAGGTCTCAAAACATCATTTTAAATGGCTTGTTCTGAAGAACCAAAAGGCATAGATTCATAAGATTTGGCAGGTAGCTTGTTGAGGTTGAGATAGAGCCAACAAAGTTTGAGAAGGAAATTGACCTTGACCTACTTAAAAGGTCACAGGGACAAAAATGTCAAACACTTCAAACTTATGAAGAAGAACCAAAACGCATCGAATCTTGTAATAATATTTGGCTGGTAGCTTCAACAGATCGAGCCGACAAAGTTTGCAAGTGAAATATTTGTGGTATAGTATAATATTTTATGAGAATATTTTTGTTATGACTGATTAAATATTCAGGTGAGCGATACAGGCCCTCTGAGCCTCTTGTTTTAGAAATGTGTTAACAAACTGCAGGGAAGTCATCCCCACTCAAACATAACTTAAAAAGAAGCCTAGTTGTATCCTACAAGGATTCATGAGAGGATACTATTCAGATTGATACAATATGTTAATAAAACATGTTTAAAAGAATGAACATTTGAATAAGGCGCCAAATTAGACGTCACAGTATCAGGACCCAGTCCTGTAAACATCAATACTCATCCTATATCATTTTAGCTTGCCAAGCGTCGGCATTGGCCTCCAACTTCCTATAGGTTCAAGTTTTCAGGCAATTTTTTTGCTGACAGTGTTGGATCATCCCACTCCATACACTGTTGTCTATTATAAGGTTGAGGCATTTATATGGAGTGTAAGCAGTGTGCTGAATCATATTTTCATATTTTAAGGGCCAAAAACAGCTTAATTGGACTTGGTTAAAGAGTTTGGGCAAGCTCTAAGCTTGAGGTTAAAGTTTTTGGGCAAGTTTATTAGTGCTGTATTGGATAACCACCATCAATAGGCTGTTGTATATTATAAGGTTGAAGTTTTTATATGGAGTGTAAGCAGTGTGCCGAACCATATTTTCATATTCTAGGGGCCGAAACAGCTTAACTGGACTTGGGTTAAATTTGTTTGTGCAGTGTTGGATCACCACCGTAAATACACTGTTGTCTGGTGATCTGTTCTTTTGAAATGTACGACATGTTAAGGTACAGCAAAACCTTGTTATATTGCCACCAATTGTTCAAAGAAATATTGACATTATAAAGGGGTGACAATAAAGTGAGGGAAGTGTATAAAGAAATCCTTAAGAAAAACTTAGATAAGGGATCTTAAAATATGTTGGCTGTGAGCGAGGTGGCAAATGAAATGAGGGTGATTCCATCAAGGTTTTACTGTACTTTACTGTCCATTGATGTCTTACAACGTATATCACCATTAGGGGAGGTATGCTGTTCTCCAACAGCTCTTGTTGACAGTCTAGTTTGTACATGTGCCTGCCAGATTATATGTGTTTGGTGTTAGTTTACTTCGTATAAATTGCATAAAGGTGATTATTTAAGATGTTTTCTCTTTTCTTGACAGGAATTTCAGTCACAGATGTTGGCATTGATAAAATGGCATTGAATCGTATCATGAAAGTCTGAAGAATGACGGTCTTTGTTGAAAACAGCGCTGCTGTCGACAAGGAACCTGAGGAACCTATCAGACGAAGTGGTACATTCAGTGTCAGCCAATCACAGACAAGTTCTGTGTCTGTTCATGCGCTTATATTGTTTTGGTGAACACAAAAGGCTAAAATGTGTTGTTTCTTCAAAAGTTCAAACCATGGAGGTGAAAGACAATCTGTGCAATTTATCTAATAAAGTGACAAAACACTTATATCCAGAGAATGTCCATCATTGTCATCTAATAGGTAGTTAGTTCCTATATGTAGTTTGAAATGTGATGGTAATCATCAGGTTTTTAAAAAATGTAAAAAAAAACCACCAATATATAAAACCTGGTATTTAAGTGTGTATAAAAGACAAGTAGAGATGAGTGTTGTGTACAATGGGTTAAATTTCAAGGAATATTTTTTTGTTTCATGTACATTTATTAGACCCATATCTGGAAATGATGATTTCACAAACAGGTACTCCCATTAATGACAACATTCAAGTAAACCAAATTGTATGGCATAAAAAACATTCAAACACCCAACATCCAATCAGTTTTAAATTCTTACTTTTGTTATGTTTAAAACAAAATTGAACAGATTATGCTTAATTTTGGGGGTTTTCAAAGTTTTAAAAACAGGGTTTATACAATAGTGGAGGAGTAATAACACCAGAATCTATTATGGACTTGGAATAGACCATTAATATTGTTCAATTTCTTATTTTGTTTTTTTGCTTGTATGAGTCAGAGTAACACTAGAAAAGTTTGTTTGAGGGTTATTTCCCTAAATACAACAGTGCAGTTGAGTTGTATATAAGGTGATCAGTATATTTTGAAATAGTGTAATCTAGTTTAAAATCATGTGTGAAGTTTTAGGATTATTGTGTTCATCATGATTACTGCCTGGCAATGTGATTTCAAAGAAAAAAATGAAAATAAATTGCAGAGAGAAAAAAACACAAATAATTTGTCTGCGCTAGGCAGAAAGAACTAAAGTTGAACAGTTCAATATGACTTGAATTTCATTAACAGGTACTTGTAAAAGATTTATTTGTGTATGATTCTGTATTGTTGTTTCCTGAAAACCAGATTTTGTAAAAAAATAAATAAATCTCCAAGAAAAGTGTTTTTTCTTTGTAGTCATCCTATTTTATTATATGTTTGTAATAATTATATACATGATCATGTTTTAAAAAACATTCTAATTCATTGATCAAAGAGAATCAAAATAAAAAACTGTGTATGGTGTGTGAAGTTCTAATATTTATAATAGCTGTAAGTGTAGTTATCACTCCTGTTACTTTTGAACATTAGAATCCAGGACATTTTCAGGACTGTATCAAAGCTGAGGTCAGCATGGTTCCTCTGTGATCTATGTATCCAGAATATATTGTATGTAAATCAACTGTATACGGTAAATACGCCAGTAACACTTAAAATGTAAATCTCCAGAAATCAGCATCAGTAATATCTGCAATTCAAGTCAACTATTAAGATTTCTTATCACATTCACCTACATTTTATACCAGTATTTTCTAATTTCTGTAATATTTATCTTGATTTTAAAACAAAAAATATCCATAAAAGCAATGTTTGATTACAAAATGTTTTGTCTGATGTTTGAAATCTTGATGTTGCAGCATGATGATAGACTTTGAGAAAGAATACAGTGTAGCTATCCCGTCTTTGCGTATTGCAGAGTTATCTTCTCTTGGGAGCAGGTATTGATTGTTACGTCATTGGTTTGTGTGAGAAAATTATGTCGTTTTCTCAAAAATTGATGACGTTACTCTTACAAACAAGTGACGTAACAATCAATACCTGCTCCCAAGAGAAGATAACTCTGCAATACGCAAAGACGGAATACTGTGTTAGGGTATTACGCATGTGCTGTCAGCTTATCATTATTAATGGTGATTATTTTCAGTGAGACTTTCATCACAATTTCTTCTGGAGTGTTAATACATATTGTGTTCTGTATTCCATATTGGTTTAGTTGTTTAGTTTGCTTGTACATTAATTGTGAATTTCAGTGAGGAAAAATAATATCCAGAAAATCAGAAGAACAAACTATTTATACAAATCATATGTGGATTCCATTATCAGATTTAAATAGTTTTTGTGATAAGAGCAACCACAGATATGAAAAGAAGTGTTGCTAAAATAATGTTATTCAGTTTTACAATTAAGATGTTGTCCTTCTGAAAACTGGCGTGAATGATAATTTTTTCATTAAAGAAACATGTGCATGATCTGGTATGGTCAGGACTGTCGTTTTTTACAGTATACATTTAACTGACAATATTAAATGCAATCTTTACACACAACACAATCATTGAAGGAACTTCATATATAAAGAATTGAGAAGTAGATTAAGGTAATGAAATCCAGTTGTATTCGCTGTATTTAACTTGGAGAGTTCTGGTTATGTCTGGAGACTTGAATGTTACATTCCATTTTAACTATGACATAACCACAATAGCATAACAATTTAATTAAAATGCCAAATTTTCACCCTTTGGCGTTTTAATACATATTCAACCTTTTGCTTTCAAACTTCAAAGGTTTAAGTTTTCTAAGGTCAGTATTTGTTCAAGGTAGTCAAATTAAAAAAAATCAGTATGGAGATATCATGTTCATATTTATTTTCTTTCTTTACCTTTTAGCTGCTTAAAGGATTGTAAATAGTCGGTATGTCTGTAAATGGTTTTGTCGGTTTCTTATTTTCTGGCGGTATAGTTATTATTCAAGAATTTTCCTCAAATACATTACTCTAGTACAAATCATTTACAGGCCCTTAAGCAAAGGTACTTTGTTTTGGTGATTTATTAAGGGCCTTATTTTTCAGACAAACTATATATTTTTGTGCTATGCAGTGATATCAAAAATAAAGAAAAAAGATTATGATTTGTTAATTGAAATTGATTAATGTTGAGACTGTTGAGTTTGACATGAAGGTGTAACATAACTCTTCTTTGTAAATATCTTTTGTTTGTCTACTGGTCGTATTAAATAGTTAAAATCTCACATCATCAGGACATTTATTTGGTCACAATTTTCAGTTAGACTTTAGGTAGTTTTCTATTTATGATGTAAAAACTTTGGTTATGTTCAGTGGATTTTGTTTCTTAATAAATATAAATTATGTTGAAAATTTGACCTTTTCTGTTGTCTTTTTACCTGTTCAGCTTATATTACTAAATTTTATTATAGATTTGGACAATTTCCACACTTCAGTTGAATTTTTAGGTCGCTTGAATCACTCAAGTTATTGTGGGCACCTTCTTGCTTTGTGCATCATGAGTAAAACCGTTGATCACATTTTCGACTTCTCCTTAAAAACAATCAGTCAGATTCTAATAAAACTTTTTGGAAATCTTAAGTGGGGGATCAGAAGATATACTCAAAATAGGGCAGAGGGGCAGGGCCATCAGAAGTCAAAGAGTAGAAAACCTTCAAAAGATTACTCCTCTCAAACTCTTAGTTGTATTTTCTTGAATATTTCTTAAAATGATGCTTAGATGATGAGGATGAGAAACAGAATATGTGACCCTCCATGAAGGGGGGCACATGCAAATTTTGATAAACCTTGGTGGTAATCATTACCCTGAGGTGGGGGCGATAAACCTTGGTGGTAGTCATTACCCTGAGGTGGGGGTGATAAACCTTGGTGGTAATCATTACCCTGAGGAGGGGGCGATAAACCTTGATGGTAATCATTACCTTGAGTGGGGGCGATAAACCTTGGTGGTAATCATTACCCTGAGGTGGGGGCGATAAACCTTGGTGATAATCATTACCCTGAGGTGGGGGCGATAAACCTTGGTGGTAATCATTACCTTGAGGTGGAGGCGATAAACCTTGATGGTAATCATTACCCTGAGGTGGGGGCGATAAACCTTGGTGGTAATCATTACCCTGAAGTGGAGGGGATAAACCTTGGTGGTAATCATTACCCTGAGGTTGGGGCGATAAACCTTGGTAGTAACCATTACCTAAGGTGGGGGCGATAAACCTTGGTGGTAATCATTACCCTGAGGTGGGGGCTATAAACCTTGATGGTAATCATTACCCTGAGGTGGGGGTGATAAACCTTGGTGGTAGTCATTACCCTGAGGTGGGGGCGATAAACCTTGGTGGTAATCATTACCTTGAGGTGGGGGCGATAAGCCTTGGTGGTAATCATTACCCTGAGGTGGGGGCGATAAACCTTTGGGTAATCATTACCCTGAGGTAGGGGCGATAAACCTTTGGGTAATCATTACCCTGAGGTGGGGGCGATAAACCTTGGTGGTAATCATTACCCTGAGGTTGGGCGATAAACCTTGGTGGTAACCATTACCCTGAAGTGGGGGCGATAAACCTTGGTGGTAATCATTACCTTGAGGTGGGGGGGATAAACTTGAGGGTAATCAGTTCCCTGAGGTGGGGGCGATTAACCTTGGTTGTAATCATTACCCTGAGGGAGGGGCGATAAACCTTTGTGGTAAACATTACCCTGAGGTGTGGGCGATAAACCTTGCTGGTAATCATTACCCTGGGGGGGGGGGGATTAACCTTTGGGGTAATCATTACCCGGAGGTGGGGGCGATAATCCTTTGGGTAATCATTTCCCTGAGGTGGCGGTCTTAAGCCTTGGTGGTAATCTTTACCCTGAGGTTGGGGCATTAACCCTGGGGGTAACCATTACCCTGAAGTGGAGGGGATAAACCTTGGTGGAAATCATTACCCTGAGGAGGGGGGGATAAACCTTTGGGTAATCATTACCGTGAGGTGGGGGCGATTAACCTTGGTTGTAATCATTACCCTGGGGGGGGGGCGATAAGCCTGGGTGGTAATCATTACCATGAGGTTGGGCGATAACCCTTGATGGTAATCAATACCCTGAGGTGGGGGCGGTAAACCTTGTTGGTAATCATTCCCCTGAGGTGGGGCGATAAACCTTGCTGGTAATCATTACCCTGGGGTGGGGGCGATAATCCTTTGGGTAGTCATTCCCCTGAGGTGGGGGCGATTAACCTTGGTTGTAATCATTACCCTGGGGGGGGGGGGGGCTGTGACTCCAAGGGGTGGAATCAATTTGGCTAAATTTTCAAACGTCTTCTATTTTAAATTGTTCTTTACACCCAGATATTCTAGAATCAAATCCTCTATTGATGAATTGTACGTAAGGAAATAATACTAGGGATAAATTTGCTTTTCAGACCCAGATATGCTTTGCTACGGATCAAATTCTCTTCATGGATGAAAAGTTCCTAATGTGCTTTCTTTTTTGCTTATTATCAGTTGGAAAGAACTAATATTATGTTTGAATGATCATCATGTGATTGCAGTTTGATGGTACGAAATTTAATACCCTTATTCACCCCTAGCGTCTGAGAAGGTCACATCTGCATAAATGTTGAGCCTTATTTGGACCTACATGTAGCTATGCTACAATCAAATTTCCTTCAGGGATGAAAAGGTTCTAAAGTGCTTTATCAAAATTTTGCTACCGTTAGGTCACCCCATTTCTCTGAACATTTCCAGCTATCTATATAAGTATATTGGTCCCTCCCAAACATCATTTTGTCAGGGAATTCAATCTCAAAAAGCTTTATTTGTTTATTAGGTCACCTGAGTTTTGCTCAAGTGACCTATTCTGATTGCTTTCTGTCCGTCGTGCGTATAACTTTTTACATTTTTCGACTTCTCCTGCTTCAGACTCGGAGGGACTACATTCAATTTCTCTGCATGGATGGAAAGATCATCAGGCCTTTATTTAAATTGCTAATTTCAGTACCCCCGGGCCATCCGTTCTCCATTGAGGAGGGGGTAAAATTTACTATAGTTTTATAGGGAAATAACACTTCTGGGTATATTTTGTTAATTTTCAGTAGGAAATTAATCTTACTTAGTGAGAATCATCCTTGGAAGAAGATGGTATCACATTGTAAAATTAGGATTCCTGTCTCAACCCCTGGGGCTAGGGCGTGGCCCCAAAGGGAAAATTAACCAATATTTCAAAAATCTTCTTCTTCAGACTCAGATGTAGTAGGGGGATTTATCTAATTTTCAATTTTATTACCCTAGGCCATCCATTCTCCTTTGGAGAGGGGGTAAAGTTGACTTTAGTTTATATAGGGAAATGTAGGGTATATTTTGTCCATTTTGAGCAGGAAGTTATTCAAACTTGGTTGGAATGATTATGATGCCAGATAGCAATAAGATAGTATGAGTAAAAAATATCCTGCCCCATCCCCAGGGGATTACCATTACCTAAATTGTAAATTTTATTATCCCCCAGGTCATCTGCTCTCCCTTGTGGAGAGGGTTTATTTCTCAATAGCAAAATAATTATTTGAATAGTTTTTAGCTCACCTGGTCCAAAGGAGCTTATGCCATACCGTTGCGTCCGTCGTCCGTCCGTACGTGAACAATTTCTTTAAATGACTTCTTCTTCTTAAGCACAGATTTGAATTCACTAAATTCAACTAAATATGACTGGAAGCATCCCTACGTGGTGGGGATTCACAATTGTACAAATGGTGGGGCTGACCCCCAGGGGGCAGAGGGGCGGGGCTAAAAGAGGGCAATTTGGCTATATTGCTTAAGCGACTTATGTAGAACTGTGCACTGGATATCAATCATATTTGGCTGGAAGTATCCCTAGGTAGTGGAGATTCAAAATTGTACAAATGTTGGGGCGAGCCAAAAGGGGGCAATTTGGCTATATTGCTACAAACAACTTCTTCTGTAGAACTATGCACTTGATATCGATCATATTTGATTAAAAGCATTCATGGGAAGCAGGGATTCAAAATTGTACAAATGGTGTGGCTGACCCCCAGGACACCTCCAGGGGGCTGAGGGGTGGGGCCAAAAGGGGACAATTTGGCTATATTGCTACAAACGATTTCTGTAGAACTATGCACTGGATATCAACCATATTTGACTGGAAGCATCCCTAGGTGGTGGGGATTCAAAATTGTACAAATATTGGGGCTGACCACCCAGGAGGCTGAGGGGTGGGGCCAAAAGTGGGCAATTTGGCTATATTGCTATAAACGACTTCTGTAGAATTTTGCCATGGATATCGATTATATTTGGTCAGNCCCCGTGCTAAAGGGTGGGGCCCCACCTTTTGAGACATTGTCCCTGGGTCATAACTTTGAAACGGTTGAGATCCCCACCCCAGAACTATATATACAAATACTTGGCATAAAGGGACAAAAGTAGTCATGGTATTAGAATAGACCCTGGGGTCTGACTGAAACCCAAGGGACCTAGTTTCTTAAGTCACAGCTTGGAAACAGTTGAGATCCCCACCCTAAAACCATGCATAGATACAATTGCTGATTATAAAGAGATGAATGCACATATGCTTCCAGGATGGACTTGGGGTCTGCCCCACCCTTGGAGACTAAACCCCTGGGTTATAACTTCAAAATTGTTAAGATCCCCACCCCAAAACTATATATACAATTGTTGGGCATAAAGATACGAATGCAGTCATGATATTAGAATTGACTCCAGGGTCTGTCCAACCCTTGCAGACTTAACCCCTGTGTCATAACTTTGAAACGGTTGAGATCCCCACCCGCAGACTATAAATACAAATGCTGGACAAAAAGAGACGAATGCAGTCATGATATTAGTATTGATGCTGGGGTCTGGCCCATTTGTATACGATTTAATGATACTTAACGAGGGCCAGATGACGTCACCAATGTGCTCAATACCCCTAACAACACGCGACGGCCCAAGAGAGCGCGTTCCACTTCCAACAGTGGGAACAGTCGCCATCAACCCCGGTGTCCCGGGCGCGCACAACGCCGACAGACGATTTCAACGGGTCGTATTTGGGCCAATCCCCAGGAAGACAACACATGACATCGCACCAAGGAGGAACCACGTCATCACCGATCCCACGCCATCCTTCTGGTCCAGGGGGGATCCCATAGACGAGCGTAGGGAAGCGTAACGAGAGGTCTCGGCCTCAAGAGCTTGGATATTGCATTTCTAAATGTATGTAGACTTGACAATGTATTTGACAATTTAGTTAAATCGCATGATATCCTTGTATTTGTGGAAAGTAAAACTGATAATTTAGATATTATTAAATTACCAGATGAGTACACATACTTTGCAAAAAATCGAACAAAATTTAAAAAA